AAAAGTCAAGAAGGGAGAGGGTTGACATGTTGTGGGGTGGTTAACCAATGTCATAAAACAGTATGTGTAGTGACTGTTTAATGAGAAACTTTGTTCTGTAAACCTTCACCTAAAGAACAATTTAAAAAAGTTAAAAAAAAAAATTTATCCAGATACCCAATGGAGAAATCAACTGATTTATTCTAAGTCAGGTAGGAATGAGAGAACTGCTTCCTCTCAGAATAGCTCTAGCTTGTTGTATTTCTGGTCGTTTCAAGTTATAGTTCCTGTAAGTTGTCTCCACCTTAATAACCCTAAATGTTCACTTTAAATTAGGAAGCATTACCGCTCTCAGGGGTTTGTTTCCTCTTTTGAAACCATAGTCTTGGATTTCTTGACACTGACCCTGTGTGGCTTTTTATTATTTCTGAATCAATTGCCTGCGGTGCTGAGAGTTCATTGGGGAATTCCCTGGTAGTCCCAAGGGTTTAGTTCTGTAGGTTAGTTCTAGTTATTCAGTTTCCCAGATTCTCCGCTTCCCTAACCTGCTGTCTCATCAACACCAGTACAGTCTTAATTGACCAGCTGTTTACTACTTTTCTTAAGACTTACAAGGGCAATTGTGAAACTTTAGTCTCATGTCCATCACATTTTAAATAGTTAAGAGCTACAGCTGCTAACCAAAAGGTCAGTAGTTCGAATCCACCAGGCACTGCTTGGAAATCCTATGGGGCGGTTCTACTCTGTCCTGTAGGGTCGCTATGAGTCAGAATTTCCTTGACAGCAGTGGGTTTTATGGGTATCTTAGCATTAGTCCTTGAAGACATTTTCTCTTTTCACTTCTTCGAACTTCCTTTTGGTAGCTTTAAAATGACTTTTACATTGTTTTGGGGGTTATTTCTGCAAGTGTCATGTCCTGGTTAGCCTTAATTGGCTCTGGAAAACAACGTTGTGTTTCTTTTCTCTTTGAAATGGTGTGTTTATTGGCCATTAAAAGCTTTAACAATCCCATATGCAGTATTCTGTTCATCTAAGAAATAGTCTCTGGGAAATCAATTTAGGTGATTAAGACCACTCTGCAAAGGCTGTTGTTTCTTCCCTTGTTTGGGTAGAGGCGCCACACAGGCAGCCAGGGCTGGCTAGGGCAGAAATGGACTTAGTTAACAACTTTTAATTGAATGTTCAGTAGGAACCAGGCACTTTGCCAGATCTGGAGGATAAGAAAATGAGTAACACACAAATGGTTGGCATGTTTACCTACACAGCATTCACTTTTCTGGTAATAGCCCCACATCAATTAGACTTCATGGTTACATGGTTGTAAGCCCAGAAAGTGACCAGCCTAAGCCAAAGAGAATTTATTGGAAGACTCTTGGAGGCTCTTGACATCAGCTGGAAGGCTAAGGGAACCAGGCTTGGGACTAGGCAGGAACCAAAGGTCTCAAACCCCAGTAGAAACTGAGTCAACCTGGTGAGGGACAGGGAAGGTCAAGACATCCCCATGTCACCCACAGGAACATGGTTCATCCCAGACCACACCTGCTGAAGGCTGAAACACACAGGTACACATTGCCCTTGAGTGTATTGCCTAGAAACTAGGCTGGGCTGAGATTGCAACAAAAGGTCTCACTGATGGCAGTGGAGAGGAATGGGCCAGCTGGAGGCTGACGCTGGGAGAAGAGGACCAGAGGCTATTGCCCCACTGCTTGCTGGACTTTGAGAAGCAAGAGCTGCCCAAAGCTCCTGCCTCTACTCATGTCTTTGTTGTTAGCTGCTGTTAAGTCGGCTCCCAACTCATGGCAACTCCATGCACAATTGGGATCAGACCTTCGTGATACATAGGGTTTTCTTTGACTAATGTTTTGGAAGTAGATCTCTAGTCCTCTCATCCTAGTTTGTCTTAGTCTGGAAGCTCCGCTGAAATCTGTTCAGCATCATGGCAACACACAAGCCTCCACGGACAGACAGGTGGTGGCTGTGCGTGAGGTGCATTGACTAGGAATCCAACCCAGGTCTCCCTCGTGGAAGGTGAGAATTCTGCTACTAAACCACCATTTTACATTCCCACCAGCAATGGATGAGGCTTCCAATTTCTCCACATTCCTGCCAACACTTGTTATTTTGCATTTCGCTGATAATACTCATCCTGGTGGGTGTGAAGGGGCACACTTTAGAGCGAATGGGTACCCAATTAATAATGATACTAGGACAATAGGCATAAATTCGGAAGTATGGTCTGCCTTCACATTAGTCCAAGTTCACCTTCTAAATCTCCCTCACTAGCACCTACAACTCTCAGTTTGATTTTAATATAGCAGAAGGAAGTTTGTTTTGTTTTTATTTTTACTGGAGGCAGGAAGAAACCCACAAACACTAGGCATCCTCTCAGCTCAGATGTGTTTCCCAACCCAGCTGGCCAGGATTTCCTGTTCAGCCTACTCGAGCGTGCGCAGAGGAAGGCAGTCATGTTCTTTCTTCCCATTACACAAAGTGTGAACTACAGGAGAGCAGGCCCTCCAGCCCTTGTTTGCAGACAGGAAGACTCAACCTCTCCTCAACCTGTGTGACTTTCTATGTCTTCAAAACAGGGCTTTGTATTAGTATTAGCTTCCTAGGGCTGCCATAACAAATTACCACAGACTAGGTGGCTTAGGGCAACAGAAATTTATTCTCTCACAGTTCTGGAGGCCAGAAGCCTGAAACCAAGATGTCAGCAGGGTCATACTCCCTCTGAAGGTTCTAGGGGAAAATCTGTTCCTTGCTTTTTGTCTTAGTTTCTGATGTTGCTGGCAATCCTTGGCGTTCCTTGGCTCGTAGACAAATCATTCCCGTCTCAGCCTCTGTCATCACATGGTGTTCTCCCTGTGTGTCTCAGTCTGTGTCTCTTCTCTTCCTCTTATCAGGACACCAGTCATATTGAATTAGGACCTACACTAATGACCTGCAAAGACCCTATTTCCAAACAAGGTCACATTCACAGGTACTGGGGATTGGACTTCAACATATCTTTTGTGGGGACAGAAATCAACCCCTAACAGTATTTCTTCTAAACCCTCCCTAAAACAGTAATGTGTCTGTCTGTCTTGCTCTCTCTATTATAACCAGTATTAGCATGGTGTCTGGCACCCAACAGGCACTCAATAAAAACTTGTTGAATATTGTGGTGCTATTTTCCAAGTAAGTATTCTCTACTTGTCTAGAGGCTGTCCAAAGTTCCAACCCCCAACCCCAATACACACAGACACCATGTCTTCCAGTTTGCTTCCATTAAGCCTGGTAAGAATAGTCAAATTAATCAGGACTCCTGATGGCAGGGTGGTCACCATCTTCCTTATCAGAAGTCATGTCTTCATTAGCAACCAAAGTTTCTATGACCCACAGTAAGCCTTCATAGCTTCTACACTAATATGGTGAGCGGGAAGGTGAAGGCTCCACTTCTTGCTTGAGACAAATAGGGCAACACAAAGGTGCCTCCTAGTTGGTCCCACTATTTTTGGGCTTATAGCAACCCTGCCTCTGTTTTCCTAGGCACCCCCACCCCTTTGAAACAGGGAAACAGTCCTTTCCTTTGGACTGGCTTTCTTGGTTTTGTTTGGCTGCTTTGGGGTTTCAACTGAGCAATTTTTTTTAAAAACTTATTTTCCCAAAGAGTGAGTTCCTACTCCTAACCACTCTTCACCCAGCCTCAGACCTCCCTACAGCACAACCTGCTACAACGATGGGCTCACCAGGAGGTTTATTGGTGGAAGTACAGAAGCGCCTTGTTATAAAGGCCATCTTGCCTCTCCCAGGTCACTTGGCCCACAATGGGAAAGAGCAATAGAAGAAGTTGTAGCAAGTACACTGAAGCCAAGGGAAGGTCACCCCAGTTTAGCTGGGTCTTAGGGTCCCCAGAAGTTCTCTCCTAGGGAACTGGCTACAGGTGCCTCGAAGAAGTGCTCATTTGAGTTCTCTTGTTCCCAGAGGCTGTGGCTCAAGGTGGCTCTCATGGGTATATTTGAAGTGACTGGAGTTGCCGCTGGGGAGGGTGTCTTGTCATTGCTGTTGAAATTGTCCATTTCAGTGGTCATGTTGGTGTTTCTGCTGGAGCGCAGGGATTTCAGAGTCATTGAAAGCAACAGAAGAAAAACAAAACATTGTTTAAAATGTAGTTAAAAAACTGTTTGCTAGTCTTTTCCATCAGGAGTGATTTGGATATAAATATGGAAATGATGGGCAGTGATGATACTTACATACGATATGATGTATCTAAGATGCCTTGAGAGCAGAAAGCCAAGGAGGAGGGAGGCTGGCTCTGCTGATGTGCGTGGAGCAGACACCTCGCCAAACCTTAAGCATTGCTTTTATGTTGAGAGCCTAACAAGCTATGATTCAAAAGCAAAATCTGAGTCCCCTGGGATCTGCCTGATACCCATATAACCTGCCAGGTGGGGATCAGTCTAATACAAAGAAAATCTTAAACTACTTCTTCAAAATAGTAACAACTTAAAAAAGTCACAGTCACTTAGTATGTCTAAAAACAAAACAAAACAACAACAGTAGGGCTAAAAACAAAAAATTCTGATTACAAATGGGATGCATGTTTATTTTAAAAGAAAAAAAAACTGTCAGATAACAAATTTTTGAGAAAGACTCTCCTTAGGACCCAGAGTCCATGCAGATACAGATGAGCTTCCTTGTAGCACTGGGTGGATTTCTTTCTAGTGTACCCTTTCATTGAGGGTGTAGCTTTGAAAGTCCTGGATGCATGTAAATATGTCAGTCAACTCCCCACCTAGCTCAGGCCCAAGACTTTACCTCCTGTCTCACATGACCATGAAAACACAAGCCCTCGGTTACCAAGACTGGCAAGTCCCTCCAGGCAGCCCCAGCCTCAGCCTACATTCACTTCTCTGGTCTCTAGGTTACTCTTAATTTTTGGCCCCTCAGAGTTTCCTTCACTTTTTGTGAGTTCAGCAATGCATTTGAAATTATGTTTATTATATTTGACCCAGCATTCCTAGGTGTTTTGTAGCAAGGAGATTTTTAGATTGTTCAGCCATATTGCCAGTCTCCAGCTCAATATGCTAAAATTCTACCACAGCCACTCAGTGGAAGTTTGGCAGGCCAGCTTGATAAAAACAACAGAAACTCTGAGGTGAGAGCAAGGGGTCCTTGGTAAAGTCTGAAGGGTCTGAATCAGTATGTGCCTTATGAACTCTCAAAACCAGCCAGAAACTCCCTGGCAGGACAAAGTGTTACACTAAAGAAAAACCACTGGAAGGGAATTCAAATCCAAATTGAGCAGGACAATAGAAGCAAAGAAAAGAGAAAGATGGGGAGGGAAACAGCTAGGAATCTCAGAAAGTGTAAAGCCATAAACACTTTACAAAAACAACACTAGAGGGAGCACTAGAGCTAAGCTAGAAAAACTAGCCTGACCCATCCCCTCTTCCCCAAAGTTCAGGGAAACCTAGTTCAATGAAAATTAGGATCAGAAAAGGATCACAATCAAATCCCATACAAAGTTATGTAAGAAAGGAACAAAATATAGAACATCATAAATCCTTTCAATGAAATCACACTAGGAAGATGTGAATGAAAACTACAACCCAGCATTTCAAAATAAGCTAAAAGAAATTAAGAAAACGATAAAGGATATCAAAGAACAACATAAATCAGAACTTAAAAGACTTGTAAATGAAGTGATGGAACTGAGAAAATAATTAGAAATTGTTAAGTGACCAAAATTGTTACTAAAATGAAGTCTAAACTAGAAAGAACACAAGAGAAAACAAGCACAACACACAATGCCTTAAGGGAAATAGATTAAAAGGACAAGAGTTTAAAAAATACAAAAAAAGAAAGTAGACAGGCAAAGATGATCCAACATACAAATAATAAGAGTACCCAAGAAGAAATCAACTTGATGGCACACAACAACAACAATAACAAAGAAGAAAAATTCAAAAATATAATTCAAGAAAACTATCTTGGACCAAAAAAAAAAAAGAGAGTGAGAGAGACTTGAAACCACATATAAGGGTATACCATCTACCTAGGAAAATTGACCAAGAATGACCAGCACTGAGGCATATACTAGTGAACCTACTGGACTTTAACGGAAAAGGGAGAGGGAAACACAGAAAATTTCTTTGGCCATTCAGGCAAAAAGACTAAGTCACTTACAAACCAAAAAAAAAAACCCAAACCCATTGCTGTCAAGTCGATTCAGACTCATAGCAACCTTATAGGATAGAGTAGAACTGCTCCATAGGGTTTCCAAGGCTATAATCTTTACTTAAAGGAGCCATGGTGGCACAGTGGTTAAAGCACTTGACTGCTACCGAAAGACTGGTGGCTCAAAACCACCAGCGGCTCCATGGGAGAAAGATGTGGCAGTCTGCTTCCATAGAGATTTATAGCCTTGGAAATCCTACGGGGTCATGATGAGTTGGAATCGACTCAATGGCGACGGGTTGGTATGCGTACTATATAGAGGTATTAGTATAAAGGTAACTATTAGTACAAACCTTCCTAAATGCAGAAATAAACAACAACAAAAAGGAAGGATAAACCATTAAAAAAAATCTATGCTGCAGGAAGGGGTGCCGGAGCTGATTGCTTGGAGTACCCACATGGCTGCTGGGAGCTGGGACTGTTCTGCAAGCTGCAATGAACTTCCACTGGTCTGCTCTGCTGTCAGCAGCCTGAGGTTTTCACTGGGCTGGGATGATGACAGGAGGCTGTTTTCAGGCTGTATGGAGAAATTCAGAGTCAGGTTACCAGGTCAGCTCATCCGTACTTCTTAGCCTCCCAGGAAAATAGCCTTGAAGGAACTCTTGGGACCACACTTGGGTGTTATGGATTGAATTGCATCACCCCACCCCACCCTCCATATGCACTGAATTCCTGGCCCTTATACCTGTGGATGTGATCCTGTTTGGAAATATGATTTTGTTCGGAAATGGAAGTCCCTGGGTGGCACAAATATTTAAGCGCTCAACTAACTGAAAGGTTGGTGGTTTGAACCCGCCCCAGAGGCACCTCCGAAGAAAGCCCTAGAGATCTGCTTCTGAAAGGTCACAACCTTGAAAACCCTATGGAGTGCAGTTCCACACTACAACACATGAGGGCTCCACAAGTTGGAACTGACTTGATGGCAACTGGTTTTGGTTTTGTACCTGCGGATGTAACCCAGTTTGAAAATAGAGTTTTTCTTTTGTTATGTTAATGAGGGCATACCAGTGTAGGGCAGGCCCTAAACCTAATCACTTCTGAGTCATAGAAAAGACCAGAATAGACACAGAAACACACACATGGAGGAAGACGGACGCCATGTGAGGATCACGTAGAAGTGAAAGCATGCCAAGGAACCAAGGAACCCCTGGTCTACTGACAAGGAAGGAATCCACATGGCTGAGACCCTGATTTGGACTTTTAGCCTCCAGAACTGTGAGAAAATAAATTTCTGTTCTTCAAAGCCACCCACTTGTGGTATTTGTGTTATAGCAGCACTAGATAACTAAGACACTGGGCTTCATAGCCTAGCCCTGGGAACCTGTTCCTTAAGCATTAAGCCCCAGAATAATCAGACCAAAAATGGGGCCCCTGACAGGGTCATGTCCTCTCTGTAATGGGCTGCTGGGGCTACTCTGTTCAGGGTACCAGAGCTGAACTTTAAGAACCAGAGCAGCTGAGCTGTAAAACAGTGGTTAATCAATGTATCGGACTTTAAAAGTTGGTTGTAACATACCTAAAGCATATAACTGAAATGAAAGGATGGAAATGTTTAGATTTTGAATTCTGAAGATTTTAGGCAACCCAGTCTATCAAGTTCTTCCTTTCTGTCTTCTACACTGAGCAGGTCCTAGGAAGGCCTTCTGTGCATCAAAAAATGCCTTAGATAAACTGAAACCCAAACCCGTTGCCACTGAGTTGATTCTGACTCATCGTGACCCTATAGGACAGAGTAGAACTGCTCCCATAGGGTTTCCGGCGGTAACCTTTACACATCTTTCTCCCTCGGAGCAGCTGGTGGGTTCAAACTGCCGACCTTTTGTTTAGCAGCCGAGTGCTTAACCACTGTGCCACCAGGGCTCCTTTAGATAAACTGAAGGGGAAAGCAAATTCTTGAGAAAACATTTGCAAGAAAATTGCAATAAAGATTTATATTCTTGATGTAAAAGAGCTTCCCTTTACAAATCAATTTAGGAAAACATAAGAATGCCAATAGAAAAATGGTCAAAGAACACAGACAATGCAGAAAGAAAAAATATATAAATATACATGTAACAATGTTCAAAGGAATTGGAAATCAAAGACATGCCACTTCTTAACCTATCATAATTAGAACATTTATCAAAAACTTATACTACTCAGTTATGATAAGGATGTAGTGACAAAGATACTCATCTTAAAAAAAAACTTATTTACTTACTTTTTCCCATACAAAAATTTATACATACATTGTTATGTGACTGTAATTGCTCTCCCCATACTGTGACAGCACACTCCTCCTTTCCACCCCTGATTCCCCATGTCCATTCAACCAGCTCCTAACCCTCTCTGCCTT